GGAGTTGAAGGGGGTGGGTTGTGTTGGGAGGGAGTAGGAGGAAGTGATGTGGGGGGGGGGGATATTAGTGGTAGGAGGATGGATTTTTGAAGTTGAAGGGGATGTGTTGTCTTGGGAGGGATTAGGAGGAAGGGGTGTAGGGATGCTATGAGTAAGAGGGGTGGATTTCAGGAGGATGGATATCGTGGTGGACGGAATTGAGGGGATTAGGTTGTGTTGAGAGGGAGTAGGGGGAGGGGTGTAGGAGGAATATGAGTAGGAGGGGTATGGATATCAGCAATCACATCAAGTGTGGAGGGAGCACAAGTTATAGAATTTGTGTCTCAAACATATAGCTTTGATGTCTTCCATAGTTTCTGCAGTGGAGTTGTTGGAGAGTTTTGTGGGACAAAGGTTTTCTTATGAGGGGGGGGGGAGAGGAGACTGGTGTCTGAGGAGTAAAGGTAAAGGTAGGTGGAGGTGAGTGTGCTATAGGGGAAGAAGGGATGGACGTTTAGTCTGTCTACTGCGGTAGTGCGGGAGGGAGAGGGGATGGTGTTGGGGCTGTAGTTGAGATTGGAGCTGTGGTTGAGATTGGGGTGTCTGGATTTAGAGTGGCAAAAGAATTTGACTGGGGGAGGTTGAATGTAGAAGTGGAAATCTTGGGTGGAAGGGGGAGGGGTGAGCGAGCGACATTACTGGAGAAGGGAGTATAAGAAACCTTGTCGGCGTGCTTCCTGTCTGGCTTCACGTAGAGTGAGACCATTTTTGTATCTGAGAGCTGCTACCTCAGACTCGAACTTGTAAGTGGGACAGCCTCTATAAAATACATTATGGGGGCCGCCGCAGTTAGCACATGTGCGTGTTTGTGCAGGGCAGTTTGATCTATTATGACCGGTTGGGCACAGAGGGGCATCGGTCTGTGGAGCGGCAGTGTTTGGCAGGATGTCCAAATCGCCAACAATTTTGACATTGACGGGGGGGGGAGGTTGGTATGGTTGAACAGGGAGGGATTGTCCACCAATGTAGATACGACGGAAGGTCATGTGTACTGAAAGTAATTTTGGCAATGTTGTGGGTTTCTTTCGATGACCTCTAGGAGGAATGGAGTAGCAATGTACTGATATCACGTCCTGGTCTTTGAGGCACCGAGCAAGTCTTCTCCACAATCTGACCAATCTTTGGTATCGACTGGGCAGTTTGCTGGGGAGATAGAAAGTTCCGGTACAAGTATTAAGAGTTGGATGAGGTTACCAGAGAGATCAGTTAGTTTTGATAATGCTATAGCTTCAGCTTCAGATCTGACTGTTACGAGACGGGAGCGATCGCGTCGGGTACGGAAAGGACTCTGCCTACATGTTTTTGGAGACATTGTTGAAAGAGAAGAGTGTTGCCTGAGGAAGAGCTGTAGGGGGATCAAGAAAAATCGGTCCCATTTAGCTGGGCTAAATAGAATAGTTAAGATATTTGTACGGTTGGTGGTGGTAGAAGGACGGGGCGTGTGGAAGCGGGAGTGTTGTTGAAGGGGGTAGTATTACAAGATGGAGAATAAGGCTGTAAGGTAGTAATAAGGGAGGTTGGGTGTTTGATGAAGAAGGTTGTAGGGGTAGTTGATGAATTTGATGAATTGGGAGTGTAGGAATGTCTTCTGGAGATTGAGTCTCTGCTTGGTGGGTAATGCACTAGTAGGCATTGAGGAGTGGGTAGTAGTTTCAGTGTTTGGAGTCGTGGTCAAAGGAGAGCCTGGGGTCGGGGAGCCGGTGGGCTATTTGATGAAGGGGCAAGCCTCATTGCCCCTAATAGGGTATTACATCTTCATTACTGGCCATGGGAAGCCTTGATTATGTAAAGCGAAAAAACTGCCACCCCCCCCCCCAGTGCCTTGTACGGGGTTATTGCCTAGATAACTAAATCGGAATACCGTGCCCATGGTTCCCACAGGCCGTTAGGACTGGCACAAGGTCAGCCTTTCATCCTTTCAGCACGGCTCTTACACCTTAGGAGGTAGATAGTATATGGGATTGGAGAAGGGACAAAACAGAGCTGGAGGGGGAAAAGACCATGCAAAATTAGTTGAGTCGAGGGCTGAGGCCCTAGACAGGGGAGATCCCTGCATTGGGTCTCAGTCTCCATCTCCTAAGCCCCCCACGACAACAACGGGCAAGGGATTGGGGGGGGGGTCCTATCTGGTTTCACATAGTGAGAACATTTTTGTATCCGAGAGTCTGTGGAACAGCAGTATTTGGCAGTCTGTCTAAAGCGCCAACAGTTTTCACATTGACAGGGAGGAAGTTGATATGGTCGAAGAGGGAGGGATTGTCCACCAATGTAGATACGAAAGGGAAGGTCATATGCATGGAAATTAATTTTGGCAATGTTGGTGGGTTTCTTTCGATGACCTCTAGGAGGAATGGAGTAGCACTGTACTGATATCACATCCCGGTCTTTGAGGCAGCCGAGTAAGTACTCTCAACTATCTGACCAATCGACATCCATAGGGCAGCTTGCTGGGGAGATACAGTCAGTTCCAGTAAGGTAGTAATAAGGGAAGATGAGGTGACTGGTGGATTTCATGAAGCAGAGGTGCGGGCTGTAGTAAAGCATGGACAGGACAACAGAATGTGTGGAACTGAAAGAGGGACATTATATAGGGAACATGGAGCAGATCAGAACTTGCCATCAGATACGTTTGTGTTAGACAGGTGTGACTTGTTTCATCTGATAATTCTGGATTTTGTTGTTATCCCCTTTCCTTTATTTCTACCATCAGTATATTTAATGGTTACAAAGCTAAATAAGGTGTGCTAGATATCAAAGGTCATACTGCACAGTAGAAAGGTGTAGTAGTGTCGTATAGCATTTAAGGACAGTATGGCATTCGAAGTTTGATTTTTCCCACATTAGATATATTTCACTAATAGATTCTGCAGAACCATTTTAATTTCTGGTATTAAAGTTTATAAATCTAATACTGACTGAATGAAGTGAAATTACTGAACCAAGGCTACAAGTATAAATTGAGCATCGGCCACATATTACTGCTAATTATAGCAATACCATCAATAACCCCAAGATTTTTGGTTTAGAACACTAACGCAAATTTTAAAAATATATTTAATGATACTTTTACGTTCTCTTCAGGACATGACAATAGCAACTTGATGCCATAAATTGTGTTTGAAGAAATGTACATTTCTGAGTCAAATTAAGGTTAATGGTTTCAATATTCTATATTGTCATTGGACGCGGGATAAAGAAACACCTTTTTTGTCCATTTTATAGTAGAGTGGAGTAAGGAGTATCAACTTCTTGATTTCATAGACACAAATAGTTCTTATTTTCCATGTAATTTTCATCATGACATAAAAACCCAAATATAAAATATTTACAATAATCCTGCATTAAGAGGTATAACTAAAACACACATGGGAAAATAAGCTATATATATTCACTGGATATTTAACTATAATGTAGTTTCTGTGGTAGAGTTTGGCCTATTTTCTTTTTAAATAATTAACCAAAAACAAAGTGCCAACTTGTAAAAAATAACTGCAGTTACTGAAAATACAACCCAATCAAAATGTCTGTTGACAAATTAAATATTATAAAAAATTATGCCTGTGGAGAAAATAGAATTCCATTAGCAGGCTTTTAAAGCATCATATATGTTTGTTTTAATTTTTTCTGGGTACTTTTCACAATGAGGATTTATCATTAATTACTCTGAAAAATAAAACTGGTTCTTGTAACAAAATTTGGCTGCCATCAGCTTATTGTGAAAATTTTCATCATTGCTTCTTTTCCATTAGTAAACACTCATTTTTTTTTTCAAGTATATCAAATACACTAAATATATAAAGAACCATGAACAGCATCATTCTGAAATCATAAATAACTTCCTACCCAAAAAAAGAAGAAAAAAAAAAACTATATATCTACAAATAATACATCTTTTAGTTACAGTAAACCATAACACTTTATATATCATTGGATCGTTTTCCATTACGTCATTTCAACTGCCAACCTAGTTGTGAACACAAAAAAGAACAAACGTCATTCCAATACAAGTGTTTCAATAAGAGAATTTTTTTTCTAATTGTTTACCATACACTAGTAAAGGAGTTACAGTATTGCACAATAACAGCGCTTAGCTATTTTACCTCATATAATCTGATGGGCTGTAGATTTCACCAAAAGTTTTTTATCTAATATTTAGTAATCAAAGGTATCACAAAACCAATAGCGAGATTTCACTCTCTTTTTGCTCTTCAACATAAATAATACCATGAAATTAAGTTCAACAAAATCAGGGGAAGAGAGAAATACATCATGGTATTAAAAAACTAATTTCACTGCCTTGGCTTGTGAGATTAATATAAATGAAGATACTGAAAATACCAACAGTAGCACCAATATTTCCAAGTTTTTTTTTAACATTTACTTTCTTTCAACATCCAAATTGATCTCACAGTTTCATTAAAAAACAGTATTATAATGGGGTTGGGATAAAAGTTTCATGTTAAAATTATGTGGGCTTCCTAGTACCTACTTTACACTGGGATATTCTACCTTCATAAAAATATCAGTTAAGACATGCATGCCACAACCCAACAATGCATTTTTTTGTTTTTTAAGATTATCATTTTTTTACTTTTTTAAAATAAGCTTGGAAGATCATAACCATGGTCATTATTTCTGTTCTGTCTAGGTGATAACAATCCCAAGTAACCTTTAAGATACAATAATCTTACCTTGACAACAGAATATAGGCAAGATGCCAGGTTATTATTCCCAAACTACTTTCGGCTGTCTGTTGCGAGGCTACCGTTGTAAATTTTGAAGGACAATGTAGATAAAGAGGAAGAGCAAAGTCCAACGACAAAAGAAGCAAGACACCAGGTTTGACATGATTAACAACTCTGAGCCTTAATGATACTTCAAACATAGTTCACTCTACTTTGTCAGTCTTAGAAAATTATTTGTGAAAAAAATATCTAAGGCTCATCTCCACTGATCGGGTCACAGTGTTAAGGTCAGTTCCTACCCCTTTGAGGTGCGAGTGGTCAAGTAACAATAAAAGTAGTATCTGCCAGCTATGTACACAAAGCTCCGTTCTCTTTTCTGCCCACTGATGCCGCTCCTTCGAATTTACAATCTGGCAATGCTCTCGTTTCACAAAGTCTAAGGCTATAAATTCTGACCTTGCTGCTCTTTTAACTCAAATCCTAAAGATTTCTAAATACAAAGCCTTTGAAATTTCACAATATTTTTGTCTTTAGGAAAAGTAAATACTGCATAGAATATACAATAAACTCCATTTTGAATTTCTATCACACTGAACGTCTCTAAAATGACTGAGAATTATACATAGGTCACCGTAGCTGCAGATCTCAAAGAAGTACAATGAAATGCAGACATCAATTCAAATGTCATAAAGTTGTCCTCTACAACAGGTTGATGTACTAATTGACTTTGATTGAAGTTAATTTGTTTTTAATGTCGGGAGATATGAAATCAAAATATTACTTAACAGTCTTGCTAATTAAATGACTGGCTTTATTTCATGCACATCAAAATAGTCTTCATCATTTATTTCTATACACCTTCACAAAGTCCAAACTTTTTAAAATTCATTATAAAATCTACAATGCATGATGCTAGATAATGAGTCAACAAACTTCTTAAAATATAAGTTCTTGAAAGTGGTACAAGCCAAACCTACTGAAAAGTCTGAAATTTTCATAATGCAATATCCAATTAGTACCAGTTCTTCCACTTTAAAAACATTACCTCCTTCCCCTTTTCTCTAAGAAAATATCATACTATGATTTCAAAAATTCTAGTTTTCCCTGTTTTGAAAGATTAATGCACTAAATACGGACCTGTACATGTGCATATACATGTACCAGGCTACCGAAATTATGCACAACTAATATTTACCTAAATTTGTAAAATGAGTGGCACTCAGAAATTTCAGTCTTAACAGTAATTTCTGGTTAGTTGAAGCAGTTAATACCATGTAGAATGATGAAAAAAAAAAAAAAAAAAAAAAAAAAAAAAAAAAAAAGAGTATCTTGAAGATGTTAAAACAATCGTATATTGGGAAAGTTTACAATATAAATAAGTTATTTCCCTTACAATCTATACTTGGACCAGCTATAAAAGTACACCTAATTATAATAAATAGTAGTGACAAATATTGCATACACTTCTTACCTAATACAAACTCTTTGGAGATACATTTGCACAAGAGTTTGAATATGAAGTTCAGAAAACTACCACAAAGGGGGAAAAATTATCAGCATATCACTGGTGTTTCTGAGGTTCCACTGAAACTGCACAGCTAAAAATCATAACCACCAAAAAATGAAGACAAGGGCAGAAAATAAGAAGGAAAAAAAAAAGAGGAGACACCCTGTACAAACAAGTGTGAAAGAAAAGAATACACCTACTTATTTACAACATAGAAATAAAAATTTTGAGAGAAAAAAAAGTTTTCAATAAAAAACAATAATGATAATAAAAATTAACAGTAATGATGACAATGCATGGTGGCGGTGATAGTCTCTTGAACACGACTATTGAAGAGGATGACTACCAGGGGTGAGAAGGGAGGGGAGGGGTGGGCAGGGCATGGGAGTGGAGTGGAGAAGGGAGGGGTACATGTGGCATTATAAAAGAAAGGGGTTCTCGTCTTGGGACGCAGTAGCAGAGGGGGCCATTCCAAAGCCAACGGACGGTTGTGGTGAGCCCCACGGCCCAGGGGCTGACCCGGGAGCACCAGCATTGGAGGGAGGTGCAGCAGCCAGCCCTGGGCCGCCGATTCCGGTGGTGCGCAGCTGGTTCATGGAAGGTTTGGGGGCTTGCTGAGCTTGGAAGGGGTTGGGGGACTTGGAGCGCTGAAGGGGTTCACACCTGCAAAAGATGAAGGCGCGAGGCCCGGTGTAACGAATGGATTGGTGATGCTGTTGTTGTTGTTGAGGTTGTTGTTGTTGTTGTTGATGGTGAGGGGAGAGTTGGAGGTGATGGAAGTGGAGTTCAGAGGGGAGACACCTGTTTGGGAGAGAGAAAAGTAGCAAGCGGAAATCTCATTAGCGTGGTTTGCAGTTGTCATTAAGATGTGCTAAAGTGCAATAATTCTTTTTAATTTTTCCTTTTTCTTTACTTCATACCATAGCAGATTACATGACCAAAAAGATAAGAAAAGAACAAAAGTTAAGTCAAAATGCTTAGAACCAATTTTTTTTCATGCTTTTTCTTAATCAAGATACTAGTCAAAACACTTATTAGCATTCAACATAATTTTAAAACTAGAAAGAGAGAAATAAATTTTACCTTAAACAACTAACAGTTACCCTTCTAACTTAATCTTGAGGCTCATAATATTCCACTGAAGCTATTTTAATACATGAATTTTCAAAACCAAAATTGTGATACAGTGTGAGCCATAAATATTACGTATTCTTTTCCTTCTTGTGATTGTAAAAGTAAATAAAATTTCTCTCTTTTATTGTCAAATTTATATTCAATCTTATTTGCTGGAATGCAAAGTAATTCATCCAGCAAACTTAAAAATATTCTATAACACTAAAAATCATATATGATGTTCATAAATTCATAGGTAAGCATTAATCTTAAAGCATGCAAAAGTTAAAAAGCCCAATAGGAATTTTATTGGTTATGAAATATAGTGGAATATGCAAGCCAATTCACAAAATATTAGTGAGGGGAAAAGATTTGGATTTAAACATTTTATATATCAATTTTTCGGGATAAACAAATTCAATATAGTATTCAACAACTGCAACTTCTGATTCTCTAATAATTTGCAAAGAATTCCTTCCCTTTAAACTTAGGTAAGACTTGCAATGTACAAATTCACATAACAAAAAGTTGAAACCAAATCTTTGCCCTCATTAGACTTTTTTTTTTTTTTTTTTTTTTTTTTTTTTTTTTTTTTTGCAAAACACAAACCAAACTCAATTCAAACCATATACACAAAAAAAGCTGTGACAGGAAAAGGGTTAGATGCAAAGCCCAACACAAAGCAATTCTAGTTCTAGCATAAGTTTGGCATTGGTGCAACCCACATCTGAGAGTCCACTATGGAGGGGGTAAGGGCACATATCAGCAGCACATGATGAACCTACAGCCTGGAAAGTCTGGGAGCTGTTAGTAGCATACATAACATGGTAGGATACACCAGAGAGCAAATCACTTGTATGTATATGTATGTATGCACAGTAGAGTACACATATGTACATCATACACATGTATATGTACATATACTTATAAACTTACATTTAGATGTATACATACACATATATGAGGATCGGAAACATAAGACAGATGATAGACACATCAACAGAGAAATGGTGAAAGCCATTAGTATATTCTTGGCAGAAAATAATTAATACCTGTATCCAGCAACAGTCCCTGAAATAAGCCATTGCATACCAGATTCCTTGACGGTCTTAGAGGAAACACAACTTAGTGATAAAGCAAAACTAGGAAATATCATAGTAAAAAAGGAGAAGAGAGGGGACAAGAAGAAAAGACATTGAGAACTCACAACAGAAATGGAATAGATTTGGTAAATGATAGATCCACAGGAGATACAGGAATTGTTGAGACTTAAGAGAGCAAACAGAATTTAGTAGTGACAAAACCCAAAAACAACAGATGGTAAGGGAAAGTACAAAGGAAGAGAGGGTAGAGATGAAGAGCATCAAATGAATTACTGGAATAAACAGAGGAAGAGAAGAATGAAGACCACACTGATGCAAAGGAAAACTAAAACCAATGGCACCAGAATAAGGGAAATTGCAGGTTAGAATAAGAGGTACTTTCTCATTGGTTTTGTATCCCATCCTAATTATGAACAGTATGAAGAAATAAAGTAACATTAAAAAATAGCCTAAAAATAGCCTTAATGCAGTAATACATCACTGACAGACTCAAAATGTTACAAACAATATTTCCAATTTCATATCCCGTCAGCTAAATCACTAAAACTTTCCCATCCCTAAATTACACTGCAGTCCCTATTTTTCATCTATATTTACTCTTTCAACCTTCGGGAGGCCCACCTAAATATCACCAAGTAACCCCAGATCTTGAAACTTCTTGTGCTTTTTGGAAATACTATCGGCTCTAAACTAATCTCAAGCTGCTGCTTCTGTACTAAAACACCTTAAATAATTAATGACTTTTTTCATCTCTGCATATCCTATCTGGACCAATACTATTGTTAAAAGAATGTGCATGACTTCTGTCGCATAATAAACATTTGTATTAGAAAAATATAATAACTTAAAAACATAATATAATAATGATTCTCTAAGATTCGAGACATTTCAGCTCATGTCCAATTATTTCATTGAACAGGAAGCACATAAGCCTTGAAGAAGCAAAGGCCTATGCAATTTGCTAATCATCAGAAAAAATTTTGGTAATAGAAAAACAATGCACACCAGCTATTATTCTACTCTCTTGGAAGTTCTAGATGGTGGCCTTTTCTAAAAGATTAACGAAAGCTTTCTCCTCCTTACAAGCACTACTTTGTGAGTGAGAGTTATCCACCAAATATGCAGAGAATAAAATAAAAAAAGTGTTAGTCTACCTATTTGGTTATATTTGTCCATCTTTTATAGGTTTGATAAATCCATGTTCAATAGAATAGACAATTAAAAAGGAATTACATGAAACAAATTTTCATCATCAATATTTTTCTTTCTGCTCCTAATCCAACCTGATATGAATGAAAAAGATTTGATTGGTTATATAACAACTAAAACATTACATTTCCCTAAACATAAATAAATATAAGTTACAAAGATGAAAATTTGATTTATTTATACCCCTTATCTGTTAAAATAAAAAAAATAAAAAAAATAAAAAAAATAACTTTTAAATTTAATTTGCAATAGCAACTTAGTATTAGTCACCGAATATACCACACAGTTAAATCATGTTAGTCACGAAAATAACATTCTGAACATATCTGGCAGCTCAAATGTAAAGCAACATTATCAGTTGAAGTGCAACAAACTAAAGAAATCCCTAGCTTACACAAAAAAATTAAGAAAAAAAGAAAATAAATAATAAAACAATAATAACAATAACAGATAACAATATAAATATATACTGAACAACTGATAATCTTACAGTACTTCTATGTGTTACACCAGCGAGTCCCAATACGTAGCTTACGCTTGTTCTAGCCTTCTGAACCTTGCAATTTATAAGACTTGGTACTGCATGAGACTTACCTAATCCAGGAGTACCTTGCTTGGTGCCAACCAGGTTGTCTAGATTTACCAGGTTTTGAGTTTTTCTCCCAAGAAGGCTGCAGGCGACTTTGATTTCTTTTCTCTGTTGTTATCTGGCACTGATGAACTTAGCCCGCTAAGGTCAAAGGCATCGGACAAGCCATCTGTTAGAGACAATTGGAATGTTAAGCGATGATTGCTATAGGCACTTATGCAAATGATATTCACGTTTTAACTGTGATTATTTGCCGTTAGATATGAATGATATATTTTACCAAAGATTCCTAATGACTAATTTTCTCTCAGACAATAAAATACTGTAATCCAACTTATGTCCAGACATTCCCCAATAGACATATCAAGATGAAGAAAAAGAATAAAAAAATATATAAATTCATAGCATCTATATCTACAGTAATAAAAAGATTAATCTTATTGACCTTCATTTTCCAATGCAATCTGTTGGGGATAAAAAAAGAGAGACAAGGTAACAACAACACTACATCAAGGGCACAAGTTATAAAAACTAAATCTGTTATTACAACACAAAATACACAAAAAAGTAGATAAAGAGACAAGTGAAAAAAATGGGTGACCCAAGATTAAAACAAAGTTAAAAGGAGTAACCTTAGTGTGGTATACAGTCACTTACTCAAAGATGATACTATGACAGGTGAAATAACAGTCTTCAGAGAAGATAAACCATGCAACCTGCTCATCTTAGAGATCTTAAAAAGACCAACATTAATTTCTCCAAAACTTTCTGTAGATCTTGCCACAAACTCACAGAACCATAAAACGATATCAATATGCTTACTGTTGGCTGGCTTATCCTGGTCGACAGAGCAAAAACTCGTCCACATCTCCGTTGTTCGTCGGCGAAATGGGAGCGAAAGGATCCCTCGCTGGAGGCTTGGTTGGGACAGGCTCCCAGGGGTCACTGGCTTCTGCAGAGTTGGAGGGAGCTGGAGAACTTGAGCTGAGCACTGCCCAAGGGTCATTACCACAAATCCCTGAAATATAGATGAAATGTATTTTAGTCTCAAATAACAATTCACATACAGTATTTAACAAAAAGGATAAGATGGCTCTAGGGCACTATGGGTACATCTTTTGAACCCAACTTGCCATTTTCCCCCCTTCGTTTTGACAAATACAAACCAATGAAGGCAGAATTCATAGCTCCACATTTCATCAACAAATTTGCTGTGAAAGGGGGAGAATAACTGGTCTCTTAATTACATGAAATTTTCAATCTTTCATTAAAAATAAATCAATCATATCTAAATCATGAAAGAAAAGAAGAGAATAATAAAAAAGTAGATCCCAAAAATGTTTGCAACCTAGTATGACAACCTGTTTTACATCCCACAGCTAACAACAACACTCCTGAAGCAATGTTGAACCGTACAGACCTCCCATGGGTGGTTCCGGAGATCTTGCAGGAGGTTGACCCCAAGGATCCGAGGTAGTGGGAGGTGATGTGACCCGAGACGGAGGACCAGAGGCAGGGGACCCCCAAGGATCTGTATGCTAAGAGGGAGAAAGAAAATGTAACCATGTCATTACTATGGGATAAAATTCACACATACTGTACATGTCAAGACATAATACCTATAATTTGGCCGGGAGAAAGTCATACAGCTACGACGATGTTAGTACTGTCCATGAATTCTGTAGTTCCCAAACTTTTTCTAACTATCATCAATACTATCTTAACCCGTTGGATTAGGGTAATGTGGTAGTCACATCATGAAAAAGTTTGGCTGAGTGGTGGTGATGAAAAAAAAAAAAAAAAAAAAAAAAAAAAAAAAAAAAAAAAAACTGAGGCTATCAATGGACAATGCTCTTGAAGAGAAGATTAAACTTCAATTTTCCACAAGAAAAACATGGGTGGAATGTACCATCTTGAGCCATGCCTGGAGGAGCACCACTTCCAGCACAGACACTATCTCCTTGTGCAAAACCTATTTCTGCCTGCCTTGACTGGTGGTGCAATGTTACTAAAAATTAAATATTACAAAAATATTTCTAAAATAACATAACACATTCTTACTTATTGATATATTTACTGAACTGAGTTGTAGACTACCTGGAGAGATAATATGGAGTTTGCTGAACAAAAACATTCTATCAATATAGTGATACAACATAACAAATGAAAAATTATGACCTTTGAAAATGGCAAAACAGAGTATGCAGAGTAATAGCTAATAGCATAGCAAAGAAGAGGCAAGGAGTCTTGATACT